GTCTCTACAATAAATCAAAAATTAGCTGGGCGTGGTAGCATGTGCCTGTAGTTCTGGCTACTTGGAAGGCTGAGGCGGAAGGATTGCCAGAGCCCAGCATGTCGACACCGGGGTGGCTATGAGTGTGCCACTGCACTCCAGCCAGGGCGACACAGTGAGACTCTAACTCAAAAAAAAAAAAAAAAAAAAAAAGATTCAGAGGAATCATGTGACAATATCTGGAAATTAGAGTGATAACCGTTAACAGCATAAATGGAGAGAGAATTAAGAAATAGCATGAATGGAAAGAGTTAAATGTAAAAGTAGTAGTCTAGTTGAAACAATGAAGAGAAGGCAGAATCCTCAGGAATGGTCCCAAAATGATAAAAAATACATAGAACAGATTGGAACCAAAATACAACTTGGAGCCAAGTCCATAAGTCATTTCCCAGCTCATTCCCCAGACTCATGAGCAAGAATAAATTATTGCTTTTTTTTGTGTCAAGGTCTTGCTCTGTCCCAGGATGGAGTACTGTGGCATGATCATGGCTCACCACAGCTTCAACCAACTGGGCTCAGGCGATCCTTGTGCTTCAGTCGATGGAATAGCTGGTACTATAGGAGTGTGCCACTATACCCGACAAATTTTTTGTAAAGATGGGGTCTTGCTGTGTTGCCTAAGTTGGTCTCGAATTTCTGGGCTCAAGCAATTCTCCTGCCTCAGTCTCATGCCTGGGATTACAGGCATGAATCACCATACCCTGCCAAATTATTACTTTTTTAAGCCTCTAAATTTTGGGTTGAAGTGTGCCTGTCTCAAAGGACTGTCCTGGTATTTAAGTGTGTTCACAAAGGTGCTTAGGAACAGTAATTGGCACACAGTAAGCACTCGTTAAATAGCAGATATTTTTATTAATGACAAGTCCATCTGCATAGGCATAAGACATGCTTTTGTGAAAGTCCAGTTGGAAGTGAGGGTCTGGAGTTGAGCAAAGCTCTGGAGATAAATAGGGGAGTACATACTGCCATGGATTAATGAGGGAAAGGGAGATGACCGCTGAGGACAGAATGCTGAGAGATAGTTACGCTGTGGCCCTTTCCAGCCATCAAGTCATTTCTCTGTTCCCCTTTGTAACAAACTCCAGACAGGATTATTTATACTGGCTGTCTCCAGTTCCTTATCTCCCACTTTCTGCCCAGTCTACTGGAATAGGCTCAAATCATTCTTGGCAGAGTTATCAATAGCTTCCGTCTTGTCAATACTAATAATCAAATCAATATCCTCATTTACCCAACTCTCAACAGCACTTAATGTAGCTGACCATCTTCCATAGGTAACAGAGTTTTCCACTTCCTCTTTCTTATGTTTTTAGACTTGACTTTCAGAATACCATGCTCCTTGCTTTCCCTTCTAATTCCATGGACACCTGCCTCTTGGTTTCATTTTATGCTCCCTTTCCTCTGCTACATCTCTATATGTTGGAAGATTCCCAAGGCTCATTCTTGCATCTCATTTCAGTCTACATTTCTTCCCTATGTAGTCTCATCTGGTCTCATGGTCTGATACTACTCACTCTTAACTTTCAAATTTATGTTACTCTACTCAAATCACACTGGGTTACTCTTGCATTCCTCTAACGGGAGAAAATTAGGACCTAAAACATGCTTTTCCTTACTTAGAATGCTCCTTCCCCAAGGGCTTCATCAATTTTCTCCTAAGCATTCATCAGTACTTGACACTATTTTTGCTTCATCTTACTGGATTATATGCTTCATGAGGGGAGGGGCTTTTTCTTGTTTACTGTTATATCCCAAACATCAAAAACAGTGACTGACACAAGAGAGGCACATAGTAAGTTATCTGTCAAATGAATAGCTGAAGAACATAATTTAAAGGTCAGGCAGTTCAGAGTGAGCAATCTCTTAAAGTACTTCAAACTTTTAAGTTCATAAGTCTTAAATAAGTCAAGTTGTAAACATAATAAAAATATGCCCAAGCTAACCTGCTTTTCCAACTCAGCAAGTACTCTCAGACATCTTTTTATCACGTTAGGTAACTAAGGCATCTGTTTCACAGCCAGCCAATACCTAAATTTAGAAATCAGCCCAGATATCAATTTCAGAATAGAACAATGACCAAAACCTGAAGAAGGATACAGGGCCATGAAAACTTTAAAATGAGAAATCAAATTGCACTGTGCTACATTTTTTTCTTCTTATACATTCTATCTTATTTTCTATTGATGGGAAAGGACTGATTAGCAGCTTCAGTGAAATTCTGAAATTAGCATTTTTTTCCTCTACTTTCTTTTAGTATTTGATATGAAGTTTTTATTTTGTGAAACAATAAAAATGACTGAAATCCCCACACACTGATTAAGTGCAATAGGGCACAGTCATGTGTAATCTCTTCACACAGTAGTACATCTAGTCCTTTACCTTTAGTTTTTGCAGAAAAATTATAAAGACTAGTGAACAAGACACGCGGGCTCTGACAGGCAATTTGGCCTATAGAATGAGAAAGTAGAACAGTACACCAACTGGAATGGTCAAACAATTTAAGTGAAATGTTTTACATTCTTACTCTAGCAATCTCAATTATTTTTTCAGAGGAAAAGGCTGGTTCAACAATATTTTTAAGTCACTGGTTCTCAAATTTAGCTGGCAAAAGTTATCACTAAGGGAGAGTATTTAAAATGCTGTTGACCGGGTGCGGTGGCTCAAGCCTGTAATCCCAGCCCTTTGGGAGGCCAAGGCGAGAGAATTGCCTGAGTTCAGGGATTCAAGATCAGCCTAGGCAACTTGGTGAGACCTTGTCTCTACAATAAACCAAAAAACAGGCAGGGTATGGTAGTGCACACCTGTAGTTCCAGCTACTTGGAAGGCTGAGGCAGAAGAATCCCTGGAGTCCAGCAGGTCAAGGCCGCGGTAGCCATGAGCATGCCACTGCACTCCAGCCTGGGCGACAGAGACTCCGACTCAAAAATTAAAATTAAAATTAAAAATAACAAAAATGCTGTCAGTCTTACCTCCAAATATTATGATACGGCAAGGAGAGAGGAAGGGATCTACAAATTCAACAAGCACCCCTGGGAATTACAATGCAGATGGCCCACAGATCAGTTTGCAAAATACTTCTAGTCAAGAAAATCTAAACAAGCTACACTCAATCCTCCTGGTCAACTTCAAACCAAAACCAAAAATGACCTAGATCCTAGCTTTTGAGTTGCTTTTTCTCCCCTTATAAGTGTAAGTGAACTAAATACAGAAAATATGGGAAACAGAGAAAGAAAGGGGGGAAAAAGGTACTTTCATCTTACCACTCCAACGCGCCTTTGCTTAGCATTTTTGCTAAGTCTCCTTTTATCCTTGTCTATAATGTTTGTTCTGTTTCTTTTCACAGTTGCAATCATGATGTAGTTTCAAATGCTATTTGTTATAAGCATTTTCCATGTTATTTACCTAGTCTTCCTAAACATCCTATTTAGTGACTGCATTCTATTCCAACAAGAGGGCCTATCATTGTTTATCTAACCATTCCCAACCGTTGACTACTTCCTTACTACTATAAATAATGCTGCCATAAATATTTTTACACTGAACATATTTCTCTGTACTTGAATGCTTCTTACATGTGGAAGGAAAATCTATAGTGCCAAACTGTTTTCCAAAAGATTTTTTACCATCTTTTTTTTTCTATAGGAATTTCTCCTTCGTCTTTAATCTTTAGCTTACTAAGACATTGAAATAAGGCTCAAATTTGTGATTTTCTATTTACTCAATTACAAAATACATGATTCCTAAAAAGGTTTTAATTAATGCACACAATATCAATAGAAGGCAGACATCACCCGTGCAAAGTGTTTAAAAAGTGAATTGCTAATTTTACCACCACCTTTGTCAGAAAGTGCTCCTTAGATGTATTGTCCTTAAAAATTTTAGTGGGGTTAATGGAAGGGGAAAAAAGAACTCTCTCTTTTAATTTGCACTTCCTTAATTACAAATTAAGTTAGACATTCTTCCTTAATTAGTTGTATTTTTCTTCTCTAAATTTTCTATCTTTTCCTTTATCTATTTATTAATGGAATTATAGTATTTATTTCCGGTTGTGTGGACTTCACATTGAATTTCCTGTTGATCTTTCTGAGTTAGGAGCCTTTGTGGACTGTCTCCTGTTCACTGACCTGCCTGTTTTTGCTTCAGGACTACCCAAGAGTCCGCTACTTTCATAACACACTCTACGCAGGCAGGCAACTAAAACCATCTTGGTATAATGAAACACACATGGTCTCTACAGTGAGTTGGCTCCGTTACCTTAGGCAAGCTACTTGATTCTTCTGGGCCTCTGTCCCATTTGTGAAATCGGGGGAAACAATACTCACACCCCCCTAATAGGACTGTTGTGATTAAAAGCGAATAACGCCGAACTATCACTCCTTTCCAGTAAACAGAATTAAACAGATGCCAACCTATATCCTCAAATAACCAAAAAGCAAACTTTAACACCAATGGCGGGATTCACTTTTACGCAAATGTGGCCTTGTCTGCAGAAACACAGGGCAGGCCAAGTCACACTTACTTGTTTTGGTATTCATTCTCCTGGAACTTGGCAACTAGCAGGTTAACAGAAAAAGAAAAAAAAAAAAACCCACCCAAAACATCAGTCCCGCAGGACCTTTCAACTACTCGCCGCCCCGCGGACAAAAACATAAAACTGCAAATGGGCCACCAGGACAACCTGATCCGTCCCCTTCCCCCGCCACTTCTCTAACTGAAGCCCGGGCGACAATCCACGGCTGGAACGTGGAAGCGCCTTTCAACGGCAACACGCACGCTGGCAGGATGGGGACATCGAGCCGCAACGCCCCGCCTGACCGACCGGATTCCGACCTTCCGGAGCATCACTGGCTCGGGAGGAAACGGAGGCCCGGGGCGGGTGAGGAGCTCCTCGCCCAAGGTCACCGCAGAGTCGGGGCAGGCCGAGCCCCGGGGCCTCCCTTCAGGCCGCCGCCGCCACTCACCTCAGCAGCGCCAGGAAGGCGGCGGGCTAGACGTCTGGCAGCTCGATCTCCGCCGACGTGGTGGCCATGCCGCCGTTGAACATGGCGTCGAAGACGGCGCTGCCGGCCGCCAGCACGAAGCGGTGGGCGGGGATGCGCTGCGGGCCCCCGGCGGCCGCGGCGCCGCGGCCCTTGCCCAGCACGAAGCGCACATCGCTCAGCAGCTCCGAGTTGAAGAGGAAGGCGAAGCGCTCCTTCAGCGACGCCTTGGTCGCCTGCCAGTTGTA